ATAACAAAGTTTTGCTTGTTTTCCCTATTTGTCCCAATAATAATACTAATTTAAAAAAAAGACCAAAAATCGACAGTTATTTACATGGAACGATGACTAGACAAATAGAAGAAAAACAAAACAATGTACGCAGCTGATTTATATATATTTTTTTTTTTTGCCAAAACTATTAACATCACTGTTTGTTGCACGCGGGTCTAATTGAATATTCTTGATTTATTCATTTTTTTAAATGTTCTGGTTCATCTATATTTTCATCATCCCAACCATTATCTTTAATCATATGTACAAGTTCAATTATATATTTTCCTTCTTTATATTTTTGACTTGATTCAAAAGCATGTTCCTTGAAAAAAGTAATCATTTTTTTTATTGTAAACATGAAAAAGAAAGAGCCAAAAGATATTTACATATTTCCAGCCAAGCAATGTTTTGCAGCAATCACAATATATATCAGCTACTTCATGAAGACCCGTAAGCAATACTCGTTCTTCAGCTGCACTTGTATTTACATTAACACTTGAAAAGAAAAGACCAAAAATAGAAAAAAAAACGAATCTCGAATATTTAAAGCAAAATACATACACCGAATTGAATAAGTACGCTCGCCCTTGACTACCTTGAAATGACTAAAAAGAAAAAAAACATAATATTATCGATAAATTCAATTTGTTTTATTTTTTTATACTTTAGAAATCAGTTCATCATGACTGGCTAATTGAGCCCGACAATGAAGACATGAATAAATTCGATGTGTTTTAGCTGGCAAATAAAATTGAAATAATTTGCCCAATGTTTTCGAACCGCCATGATGAGTTTTTTTCACCATCTTTCGGCGAATCTATATAAGTCAATAGAAAATAAATATAATAATTTTATTATTCTATGCATATAGTTAGACATTCACAGAAAAGGACAGAGAAAGAAAAAAAAATGTCAATCTATAAACATGATCATTATAAAAGAGAAAGACGAAGAAGACATGAACACCACGTGTTTTTTTTTCTCTATTAATTCACTCATCTATATAGTTACATACTGTTCGTCTTGACTTGCATTTTCTTCATTCTGCTTTAGAGAACAATGACATAGTCTATTAAGAAAAGAAGCTGAATACTCTCCGGGAATATGAATAACTTGTGACTTATTAAAAGAATAGACAACCATGAAAAATAAATACATATTTATACAAGGCTATTCTATATCCTTTTCTTTCTGTATTAGTCGTCTTTTTTTACTAATTCCTCAACCTCATCATGTACATACAAATCTTATAGATTATATTTTTCTTTTGACTTTGTTGTATTCTTTTTTTCCACACATTTTTATATTGACTCATGAAAAGTATCATCAATAGTTGAAGACAAGACACAACTACTTATCTATCTGTCTACTCTCTCTCCTCCTTCAAATCATTATAATAAACAACTCGAGTTTGATGACCCATACATATATGTCACAACTGCAAAGATCTAATCGATCACTGAACTTTCATATAAGCAATAGAAAATGACTAGCAATAAAACTTGATTGAGCGTATCCAATTTGGTCTCTCTTTTTTTTCTATTAACTACTATTCCTGATCTAGATTTGTACTTCTTGCGCAATCGAACAAATACAGATGTATGTTCATCAGTATGGCGCATGCAAAAATTATTATAAATATATTATATATATATATATTTGTTGTGTCTCCTTACTCTTCTTTAATCCGATAATGATGAGCAGCTTGCATAACTCTACTAGTAAATTTGACAATGTAATTAAAAAAAAACTTTATAAAGGTCATTCCTTCATGTTTGTTAATCACTTGTTCATCAGCTCATTGAAGGACAATGCCGTCTAGAAATAGTGATCTACATATGCACGACATTTACTCAAAGTTTTGATAAGACAATAAAACAAAACTCAATAAGAATAACTCGATCGACTAGTCCAGCAGGGGGCTAAATACACAAACGTATCACTGACGCGACAGAGATATTTATCTCTTCTTTCTTCTCAATGAAACATCATCAACACTCTTGTCAAAGATTGAACAAATGAATCTATATAATTAAACATAAATGTGTGAAAATAACTTACAATAGATAGAAATGTCCAACAGCTTGCCACGCCGATAGTTATATGAAAATTTTAATTAATACAAGAAAAAAACTTCGTTGCGATAACGAACAAAATCCTAGAAAAGACAAATTCAAGGATATATAATGTTTTAATAAAAAAATAAAATATTTGTCTTAAGTCTTTTGCATGACTGTACACATATATAGGTTACATCATAAATCAATGATAATTCAAATGATATATGTTCGATGATGCAAGTAGTATTATATTCTTTTTCTCTTTCTCTTCTATACCTTCTCCGGAGACACTATGACCGCAACCAATAGACAAGTAAATTAATGGACATGAGGCGAGACAAACCTTGATGTGGTTGCGATATAAGTCTAGTTTTCTTTTTCCGTTGTAGTTTCGTCTAGGGTATTTTTCTTCTTCTTCGTACATAAACTACTAACACCAAACTAATGTTTCCCTATAGCATAATGATAGCCACTATGATAAAATATATTCTATCTTTTTATTTCCGCTTCTTGTCATGGGACATTTCGGACGATGACTTGCATTATGTTCTTCTACATAACTAACTTTTGTCAACGAGTAATGTAATGTGCATAAATAGGAACCGTGATTTATGATGAATGAAAAATAGTAGGATTTCCGGAGAGTTAAAAGATTCTAATGTGTTGCTTTTTTTCTCCCTAAGTATTTTTTTGGTTTTTTTCCTTTTCTATAAAAACAAAAAAAGATGTCTAGCAATTCTGATAAATATGTTAAAACATATGCTATTGATTATGATTAACGAAAAAATGAAGACGTCGACAATTTAGTAGAAGTAAAGGCATACAAACAAGTAGGCGATAGAATGGGATTGACACTATTCTCCGTGCAATATGTGTATATTTACATGGGTCTCTTTCCCTTCTCTTATTCTACTTCTTTTCTTTCGCTTGTCTCCTTCTTTGCGTTAGGTCCCGTTTTTTTTTTCACCTCTTCGAATAACTTTTTTTCTTTTTTCATCTATATGACACAAGGCAGAATAGGAGTCAATAGAGAACCGATATACACTGTGGTCTTTTATCATAACTATAACTACGATTATAAGTAGATGCTTCTGTTTCTATGTTCTTTTAATAATACAGTTATAAATAGAAGCATATGAAAGTTTTTTGTTATTTAAAGATAATTTCAATAAATCAAGGCCAATGCAAAACTTTTCTTTTTTTCTTTCTTCTTTTTTTTCAATATTAAAAAGCAGCTGTTCAAAAGTAATAATTAAGTCATCACTGAGAATAGTATGTATGCCATGTTGCCAACTTTCCTATTTTTTTTTCGAGTGCTCTACATATATTGAATTGATTATGACACAAATGGATTTTTTATACAAATGAAAATGAAACGTTTGACTTTGTTAAAAAGAAATTCGCTTGTTGACAATAACTTAAAACTCAACTTAAGGAACATAACAATTACCTTTTTGTACGAATTCGTACTTGTAGTTTGAAAACTGTATCGATTGACAAATGGATAGAGAATAAAAACGGAAATAATTAGGAGTGTTGTGTTATTTTCCTCTCTTGCTTTGTATTTTTATATTTTTCTTAGTTGCCGTCAATATCGTTGTTTTTGTTAGATTTCTTGTTGTTATTGCTGATGATGGCCAAATCTTGTCGAGTTGTTGTGTTTCTGTTTCTGTTGTTGAGAAGAGAAAAGGGTTGCTTGAGCATCTGAAACGCAAAAAAAAACAACATCCTCCGCCTGACGTTCGTCTCGCAAAAACTGCGCCACTCACATAGTGAAAAAAAAAATGCGCCTTACACACGTACCCCGATCAGCTGCTGCTGTTTTTCTCTATCGTCTTTTCATCCTGTCTTTTTTTCCTCGTTTCTCTCTTTCTTTCTTTTCTGTTTTACATCTTTTACTACTACCCTACTCATGTGATGACGCTCACGCGCATTCGTAACCCTTATTGTTGCGTTGTTTTATATGATGATATTGATAGTGATCTCAAAAAAAACGAAAAAGCTAAAAGAACAAACAAAAGTCATCTATTAGTTGTGAATATACGCAATTTATTTGAATGAAATATTTTAGGCTTATTACTATTGAAATATCCTTAAAATAAATAGATTAAATGTGTCAATAATGTCTGTAATTAACGAGCATGTTTGTAAGAAAACTAATGGATGATAGACATATCATAGCAATTTGAGATGCTTAACGCATTGAAAACTAGTCAAGCGACAATGAAACACTTAAAACATTATTTATACAAACTCAATGATTCTCAATCTAATTCTTGTTCTTTATATAAATCTAATATGAACACCTGTGTATAGGTGACATATATATATATATATTAGTTGATAAGAGTGCTATTCGTTCACATTGAAATCGAACATTGAAAGAGTATTATGATGAGACAATAAGCATACCTATACAATATATATGCAAAATCATGCTTCAGTTCATTTTGCATCATCATATGTATAGCCTTTTGTCCATTGTTGATGTTCGTACATATACATATATACAACAAATAATTATGTGATGGGACAAAATATATATGTATAAATATATATGTATATAGATGACGTAATTGACAGCATGTTCTTTATATAGTTTTTTTTCACGCAGATATGATTAGTAAATGAGATAAGATGGAGAAATGTATGCTTTAGTTTGACTTTCTTTTTTATATTCTGTACAAGTAATAATGATATACATATGTATATAATATGAAATTTACCTGTTAATGGGAAAATAAATTTCCGAAAAATGGGGTTAAGTCTATCTAATACTTATCATAGGAGGTTATGTGATAAAATATCATTAAATAAATATATATCATAATTGACAAGAAAAGAAAAAAAGAGAGAGAAAAAAAAGCAATCATGCATAAAAATTATATGATTCAATCAGCCTGTTGTATCATACAAATGTTATTTTGTTATCGATGGTGTCGTCGCCGTTCAAGACCATTCAGTCGATATTTTTATATGTTTCTTTTTGCAATTCTCATTGGACTTAGTTGGTCTATCTTGAGAAATTCGTTTTTAAATCGACATGATGATGGTCTGAAAGAACAGAGAGCACCGTCGATTTTCTGTTTTGTACTCAGTGCAAATGATCGTCATTTAACATCATCACGAGCTATTGTATACAGTTGGGCTAAACGATGTGATCGATTTTATTTTGTTACACGTCTTCAAAATACTAGTACTGAATTAATGATGTTAGAACATTTTGAAAATACAAGTGATATAAAATCAACTACAATAGCTCAAATTACATTCGATGTTCTTTCATATCTTCAAGATGCAGAATTATTTTTCTCGTATCAATGGTTTTTACGTGCAAGTGATGATTCATTTGTTATTATGCCAAATCTTCGACGACTTGTTATTCAATTAGATAATGAAGAAATACATCGTCCATTAGCTTGTGTTGGTGATGTTGAACAAATGTATGAAAAATATAATATAGCAACAACTGGATCAGTTATGTTATTTAATCGATTGGCAATAAATCGTTTAACTGAAACAGATAATTCTGAAGATGATGAACAATATGCCGAAAGACAGAAATGTCTAACAAACATGATCTATGATCATGAATTTGTCAGCTGTATTAAACAAAGTAGAATTATAATAAATCCTGTCAATGATTATTTGATACTTTCACAAAATTTATCAACATATAAAATGGACAAACGATTAAAGGTAAAAGTAGAAATAAGAAAAATAATATTCTAATATATGCTTACGGCCATACCACGTTGAATACACCAGTTCTCGTCCGATCACTGAAGTTAAGCAACGTCGGGCTCGGTTAGTACTTGGATGGGTGACCGCCTGGGAATACCGAGTGTCGTAAGCTTTTTGTTTTCTTTTGCTTAATGTTTTTCTTTTATTATTATTATTATTAAACCAATTTTTTTCATGATAGGATACATGTTGCAGTCCAAATACTGTTGCTTTTCGTTCAAGCAATGAAACGGACATGTATAAATTTGAATTTCTTTATCATAGACTTGATGCATTGTCAAAAATAAATGAATAATGATACTGGCTTTTTTTTATTGTATTTATACGAAAAGAAAACAAAGAAATAGAAGATAAGACACAATAGCAAGATAATTATTGCACTGCTGAAGAGTCTATGAAGTGTTGATTATTTATCATTTGATTTTTTATATGTAGAAATTGGTGGTAATGTTGGTACAGATTGTAATCGAGATGGAAGTTTTGAATTTTGTTGATGAATTTTAGAAGGATTATGTAAATTTATGTTATGTTTTGTAGGAGGTGATGCCGATCGATTGAGTGTTCGCCTTGGTGAAGTAATAGACTAGAATATAAGACAATAAATAAATAGAAAAGATAAGGAGATTTTTCTACTAACAGGAATATGATATGAGGACTTTGATTGTTGTTGAAGATATCGTTGATAATGTGGATCATAAAAATAAATAGACTGTGTTACTGGAGATGCTTTATACAAATGAGGAGGTTTATTATATTCGCGTAAAATTCGTGCATAATCTCTTCCGTGTTTTCGTCGATTTTGATCTTGAACAAGTTGTGCATGTAATTTATCGATATAATTTTGTGTATTTTCATTAATATAAGTATCCTTTGTTGTTTCTTCAGGTGTATTCATATCTAAAGTTGTCGTCATTATTTTTTTTTCTGTAATAAGAAATAGAAAGATCAAGATTCTGTAAACGACGATAGTGACAACTACGCCATCTTATAATTGCGGATGTTGCTTTTTATGTCTCCCACTCATCATTTTACAATGTTGATGACGTTAGAAAGAAGAAAATAGTGAAATAAAATAAAAGAGAGACAGTATAAATGAGGAAAAAAGAATCAGAAAGAAAAAGGTATCCGATAAGAAAGAAAAAAAAACGATGATTTAAGTCTAATATTACTAAAAAACAGATGAAGCCGAGATGATTCAAATAAAACCGTAAATTTGATATCGAACAATTAATGTTGGTGTAGAAACGAATAAATTCTCATTATTGCTGTTTTTTATCGAGTGACAACATCTTCATTTGTATTTTTTTCCGATCAGAATAAAAACGTGCGGTACATGAATGGCATTTATCATATAAAGAAAGAAAAATCAACGTTCTACTACCTTACTTGTCAAAGATTAAAATGCAATCGATAGACATACACTTGAAAAGAAAAAGTGTTTTTTTTCTTTTTTTTTTCGATATGAAAAAAGAAAATAATTCTTGTAAAGACATTTAATGACAAATAACAACGTCAAAATAATCAATAACAAATGTGAATAATTTATTACAAAAAGTGTATCTAATAATATGTATTAATAATCAATAAATTTCATTGAAATATAAATTCACGATGTTTACTTACATATGATCCATGAACACTTGAAGTGAGAATATTTTTCTTTTAAAAGGAAATGAGGAAAAAATAGTAAATTAACTAAGAAGAATGTTTTCTTTTTACATGGTTACAATGTCTACACTGATGTTGAATGAAACGTAGGCAATGCTGGAATTAATTTCAACATAGATCTGATCGTTTTTTTTTATTAGCTTCAATTCTTCCACTTTCACAAAATCATGCTTTTCATCAATAGCTCGATAATAATGATTTCATCAAAGAAGTGTTATTATTTTTCAGGTGTTAACTAACAACATTCATTTATAGAGTGTAAATAATAGGTAATTGGAGTTTTGAGATAGATAACAGAGCTCCTGACAGAGTAAACACTTTTACTTTATGCTGTCCTGATGAACGCAGCAGGATGTGACAGGACTTTCTGAAAAGCCTTTGTTCTCGACTAATGAAAATAGTCACACGTCATGACATAAACATTGTGCAATCAAAATTTTCATTTCTTCTTCTTTGCTTCACTTTCAAGTTTTATTTGATATGAAGACAATGATTTAGATTTTTTTCTGATAGTTTGGTCATTTCTAATACATGCACATGCTCATTCAAATGATCTGCACCACTTGAGGAACCATAATTAAATGTTTTTTTGACAAATATGGTAATTCACATAACATTCAATTTGTTACCATTTCCGGAAATTGAGACACTTTTCAAAATATAGTTTTCAACTCATCGCCTTGTTAGGAGTTATTTGCTACATGTTAGCCTCCTTTTCAACAAATGCGTAATTTTCTCAAAGAAATCTATCAAAGTCATAGCCAATAGTGCATGAACAGAAGTAATTTAAGTTGAAGATGAAGCAATTTCCGAAGAAGACATTCTTGAAAACAATAATGAAAAGTAGATATAGTAACCGAGCCTATATTTAGAATAATATTTTTTCCATTAGAACAAGTTTAAATCTATACTTACTTAGGATTAAAACATTATTACTAAATGTATAATTCAATCGAAATTTTGCAATAGGATTTGTTTTCTTCAAAGAATAGTTAACAGCGTGACCTTTCAGATCTGTTCTTTCTAGTGAAAATCGACAATTTTTGGCATAGTTCGTACAGTAAAAGTCACTGACCTATCTGTTCTCTCTTGTCAGAAGCTCTGATAGATAATGTATACAATAAAGATAAGTCATTAATTTGAATGAAAATATTTCTTCGTTTTCTTTTAAAATTATTAAAACAAGATTATGAATGATTCTAATCAAGCATTTATTTTATAAATGAAATTTCGATGATATTTATCTAGAAGTTGATTCATATATTACATTTTTATCAACAAAATACGAAAGTCACTAAATAAATAGAATGCTTTTTAAAAGTGGAAATCATTATTGTCAATCACGAAACGATTTTATTTGTGTTTTTCGCTAAAGACAAGAAAATAATTTCTTCTCAATACTCATCAATACATTAAACTTTGCTTCTAAAGAATAAACATATGACGACCTTAAGCTATCGATATGTATTTAAGGGTGTGACTTTATGATTGATCGATTAAATAAATTACGAGAGATCTATGAGTCATAAACGATCACATATGACTTTAAATTACATATTTATTAAAATAATTGTCGATTATCAGAATCACATAACAAATAGTCATAATATTCTTTTCGATTAGAGATCTGCAAGATCGGTACCAGAAATCCATAATCCCACACATTTCTATCCCTGATATTCGTTTAGCAACTAACGATCCATGTGCTTTGCTGTTACCTTTTCAGAGATATCGTTTTTAATTCTGGGAAAATCTTGTTTATAAAACTTAACCAATGAACTTATTCAACTAACATCACATGCAAAATTTTCATCGATAATTAATTTTAAATCGACTCCATAAAAGATGACATCATATTGAACGAATATTTTTTTAATTGCTGTCGATCGATTATCTCTATTATTTATTTTTGTAATCCTTCCTCTCAATATTATTTAATTCTCCTATAAAATCATAAGGAGATCGTTTTCGTCACATTGATACATACAGAATTAAAAAAAAAATTTCTGATTGTTATACTTAAATTTAAATACAATAAAAAGAAAAGGAATATTTATTTATCTATCTTGTTGTCGAAGTATGATATAAAATCGATTGACTAACAATAGGTTTTAATAACACATAAGCATCAGATGCATAAGTTTGTGAGCTAGACGATTGAATAAAGATTTGATTAAGAAGCTTTTGTTTTAATTTTATATCACATCTTTCATTTCCATTAGTATGGTTATTTGACGTTGCTGGTAAATTTGATATTTGTTTCATATGTTTAGCAAATAAATTCGGTATACCAGCAAGCATATTTGAAAAATCTTGCTGTTGCTTTTGATAAATCGCTAATAAATCAATATCAATTGAAAATGATGTTAAACTTTTACAACCCATTATAAATAATTGAGCTGTTTTATGATAATATTCAATAATTGATGCACATAGAATTGCTAGTGTATTAATAGCTTCATCAAATAATGTCTAAATAAATAATTATTTTGTAAAGCACAATCTAAAAGTGTTGAAGTATAGGGGTAAACAGTTGAACTTCCCCAGAGTGTGCATTTTTGCATATAAAGCGAATATATGACTTTCTTTCTCAGAAATGATTACATATAATGCAGAAAAGAATTTTTAAGAAAAAAACTTTCGGCAAAAAAAATGCCTGAATGGTGGTACCCTTGTCCTTATTTTGTCGAGAAAACTTTTTCTTCAAAATTGTTTTATGTTATGTATTATTCGACGTAGTTTAATGCGCTGATTACGAATATACTACTTTTTGTCGATTAGATACTTTTCCAAAACCAGAAAAACTAGGTCTTTCGGAAATCCACTGTGCAGTCCAGGACTGCTTGTGCTAACAGGAATGAGAGAAAGTAGATAGAAGAAGATCTTGGGAAAATTTTGAAAAAATGTCCAGAGATTGGATTGCTCATTTTCTGGGGCTAGCGGTTCCATCGACATTGTAGAAAAAACTATTTTTTTCACTATTGCAGAGCTCCGCTTGAAGATTCAGAAAATATACTTGATTTATCTGTCAAATAGTTGAATTTTATCATATATCAATTTTCTTGATGACATCCCGATTTTCAAGCTACTATTTTGGCAACTAGTTCTTCACTGACTTTGAGAGTTGTAACAAAATTATTCATATCATTATATAGACGATAGTTCGAAGTATATATCCCTACATTTAAATCTTGAAAACGTATGACTTTCATTTTTAGCCGAATACCCGCCTAGATGCACACTGTTCTTCTTCCGTATACCGTGTGAGAGAAACTGGTCAGAGACTATCTTAGACCGTGACAGAGAATGAAACAATCTCTCTGTGATAACCAACAGCAGCTACGTCTTGTTTCACATTTTAATCCTAAGAAAATTGTATTAACAAGTTTTTGGATAAAAATAGAATTTTTCGTCTTTTTTTTTCTTACTTTTTGATCAAGTTCTGTATCCATCCATTCCCATTCTTTAATAAACTCATGAGCTGATTCATAAACTTCAAGTAATTTATCAACTGATACGGTTGCACGTAATTGTGTTTGATATGCAGTAAATTTTTGTGACAAGATATCTAAACTTGGTATATCATGCTCATTATTATTATTAATTGTTAAAGAATTTAATGTTAAT